TTTGTAGGCAAACAAACGGAGGCAGAGACTGAACTCTCAAGGCTACACAGCCTGTGCGTGGTAGAAAGGGGTTAGAACCAGCCACCACATGTCCAGAACCCATACATCCTCTCGACAGGCAGTGTCTAAAGCAGATCTGATTTTGGAGACCCTGCCCTAAAATACATCACCAAGAGTCAAACTCCAAGAATCCAGGGGCTATCTGTGTTCCTACCTTCACTGGTTTTTAAACTGGGGCAAAGTATCAAATGAGCACATAAAGACATATCATGAACACCAGAGTGAAAAAAGCAGGGTCACAAAAAGTAGTGATGGTCTGACACAAATATTCAAAAATAAATGCCCGAACAGTAGGTTATTGTCTTATAACTAAACAGCACTTTCATATATGTATCCGTTTAATCCTATAAGGTAGGTAACTATTACCATCCCATTTTACAGATAAGGCAGTGGAGGCTGGAGAGGTAAAGAGACTGCTAGCAAGTGGCAGAGCTAGGATGTGACCCAGGCAGTCTGAGGGCAGCGTCGGATTATCACCACCCGACCTATTCTTAGGTGTCTCAGCAGACAAGTCCCACTCAACCTGAAGATGATCTGGGGGAGAGAATTTAAGATAAAATAAAAATTACCTTGCAACTATCAAAAGCTACTGCACCGCACAGAAATGTAAACTAATGGAAAACTTCTTGCTCCCCTTTGAAAACATGCAGGTGATTCTTTATCTGAAATGACTTAAATTCGGGCCGACTAGAGCATTTGCCCCGATACCTGTAGAAGTCTCTACTACAGTTGGAATCGTGACAATGCTGTGCAGAGGGGGAGAGAGGAAGATGGGCTGGCATGCCTTTGCGTGGGGGTGGTCGCCCCGTCAACCCACCAAACCCACACGCAATCAGATGCTAGTCAGACACCCTTGGAAATGGAAAAGGTCATTGCAGACAACAGCCACTCCCGCTCAGGTGCCTGAAATAGACAGAAGCCGTGTGGGAAATGACGGTCCAAACCTGATTCCCTACACTCTAGGATGCCACACACGTACGTCCCCCCCCCCCCCCCCACAGGCTCCTTAACCCATGTGAATCCAGTTCCCCAACTGCTGGCAAATATGTGAAGGCTGGAGAAAAATTAAGCCTCAGTGGAGTGCATGTGACCTTCTGGGAGGACTTAACGTCTCCTGGACGTCACTTTTTATTTTTAAAGTGTGGATCCGCTAGACATGGGCAATTGATTTTTTTAAAGTAGGAAAAACAACTTAATTAACATTCATCACAACCCTCTGAGGTCATTTTGACCATCGCTCCAGGGTACGGAAGGTTTATTGCTTATTGAATTCAAATTGCAGCAGACCGGATGCCATGCCGCAAGAGTTTTAGCTAATTCAGGGGCGATCATGTTTAAGGGAAGTAGTTTGCTTCTGCAGAAAACTTCCTGGTGGCTTCCAGTCATCAAACCTGGCTACAGAAGCAAGGCAGCTGTGCCGTGTAGAAAGCGCACAGCCCCTGGAGGCAGGACACTCAGGTAAACACACGGACGAGTCAGGCCATCGTTTGAGGCTCAGCAGAGAGTGAAGCCCACGCTGTGGAATATCATCAGGCACGCGGTACGGCATCTGGAGCCAGGCAGCCCAGGTCTATAACCCAGCCTCACTGCTTACTGTCTACGATCCTGGGTAAATTCACCTCCATGGCCCTTCGTCTCTTCCTCTGCGTAAAGAGGCTAGTTTTAGTGCCAACCTGGTGGGTGGTTCTGAGAATTACATGAGTTAAAATTCGTGGACCAGGTACACAGTACCGGATCCACAGTGAGTACCAGGAGAGTGTGTGATGAAGTAGACAAAACACATATAAAGGTTAAAAGAACGTAAGGTGGACGGGAGCACCGTGACGTCACGGGCACGCCACCGGGAGTCCTCTCTAAACCAGAGCAGTGCAGACAAGGTCTCCTCATCGGTTGTAGCAGAAACCGCACCTCTATCCAGGAAGCTCAAGCAGAAATTATTCTGCGTGAATTCTCATCACATCATTGATGTCGCTTCTGTTGACCACCCTTCACTTCTTCTCTTCCTCTCCCACTGTCTTTCCCCTCCTGTTCAGTGATAATGGGAAACCAGCCACCGACCGTGAAATAAAAATTGCAGTTCAGAAGAGCAGATTCGTTTTTGAAAGAACATTTCGAAGGGGAAAGAGGACCTTGGCTCTCTGATCTACTTCATTGGCTCTGTGAACAATATCAAAGAGGCGTTTCATTTTTTGCTTTGATGTAGGGGAGATTGGCCCAGTTTAAGATTTTTTTTTTTTTTTTAAAGTAGGCTTCACGCCCAGCACGGAGGCTAGTGTGGAGCCCAACACGGGGCTTGAACTCACGGCTCTGAGATCAAGACCTGAGCCGAGATCAAGAGTCAGAGGCTGAACTGACTGAGACACCCAGGTGCCCCAAATTTAAGAATTTTTTCAAAATAAGAATTAAAGTCACACCAGGATCGTTTAACGTACACGACAATTCTTAAAAGAATTACAAAGAGTAAGCAAGTGTTTTCCAAGCATGCTCCAGTGAATTTCAGCAACTTGCTGAAAATTCCCTTGCCATAGTATTTGTGTGCCCGCCCAGCTTGGGTGTTTTGCATGTGTGTATCCATATATAAGATCTCTTTTTTTAACAGACACCCACATGCCCCATAAATGTTATCTGAGTACTGATCTAAATAGACCAGTACTTGTTGAAAATAAAACTGCTCTGACCAAGGCAGTTGCATAGAAAAGAGATTTCATCCTTTGAGAGCAAAGGAGAAAATATGATTTTGTCCAACAATCTGCACACAAGCAATTGTTATTACATCTAGCATTAAGGATATAATGAATTTGAGTATGATACATTTTTACGCTTAGAATTTTTATTTCTTTATTGTGTGCATAACATGTATGTCATATAAGACGGAAAACACAGGTAAAGCAAAAACATGTTTGATAAAAATTGGAATAACCATTTTGGTAGCATTCTGATGAGGAAACCCATTCCCAAATTGCATGGGCAAAGAGGACAGGGGCCTTGAAAAATATCTATTTCTGTTTCTTTCTCTTTTTTTTTTTAATGTTTATTTATTTTTGAGAGAGAGAGAGCATGAGCAGGGGAGGGGCAGAGAGAGAGGGGGACACAGAGGATCCAGAGCGGACTCTGTGCTGACAGCAGCAAGCATGATGTGGGGCTCGAACTCATGAACCATGAGATCATGACCTAAGCTGAAGTCAGATGCTTAACCAACTGAGCCACCCAGGCGCCCCAAATCCTTTGCTTCTTAGCTAGACTGAAGAACTCCTCCAAAGTTTTTGGTAGTGCACTTTCAAAGCAGGCCTTCCCAGATAACGGGGTGATAACCTTCCCAGTGACCTGCTTGGGGCAGGGTAGATATGAAGAGTGAAGCACTACAAACTCCCCTAGGTGTCAAAGACTGGGGTCTACTTCATAGCTCTTGTCCTATTCAGGCTGCTAATATTTATCAGCAGGACATATAAATTCATGCTAAGGATCCGGTTGTGTTGAATCAGACGCCCTAATGCATTTATTTTCTTCTTTCCTCCCAATGGTCAAATCCAATTTCTATGCAAATGCTTTGGTCAAAACATTCTCTCTCTCTCTCTCTCTCTCTCTCTAAGTATAAGGATTATTCTTTAACAAAAAGATTTAGAATCCCTGCTATAGATTGCATAGAATTCCTCCAGACCAGAAGTGGCTGAGTTCATTCTTACGTACTGAGACTGGGGGGACTTAGTGGAACAATTTATTCCAACCTCCCAAAGACTGGCAAAATCCCCAGAAACTAAGGCAAACCTCTGGTCTACTTCCTAATGTCCCAGGGAGGAGACAGAGGTAGAGGTTCATTGATTGTAAGTAAGTTAACTGACTTACCCAATGTTATTTATCAGAAGAAATAGTGTGACCGGCCTATCAGGGAAGTTAGCTGGGGGAAGGATTGGGGGCAAGTTAGTTTTCTCCAGATTCCCACAGGTCAGACAAGACCTCGTCACGAAGAATGATAAATCCCATGACACATATGTATCTCGTTCCCACACTTTTTTCAGATGCTCCTTAGGTTAAGAGCAACTACCCCCTATGAATGCAGCCCCTTTACCCTGCTTTTTCTTCCTACTTTCCTTCTCTTCACATATTAAGTATTTTTTTGTATGCATTTATGGTCTGCTCATACCTGCTGGCAAGTAAGCTTCCCAAGGATGCTGAGTCTTTGTTCACAGCCTGTATCTCCAGTGGGAACAACACTACACACTGTAGGTGCTCAACAAACTATCTGTTCAGGGGCGCCTGGGTGGCCCAGTCGGTTAAGCGTCCGGCTCAGGTCATGATCTCACAGTTCGTGGGTTTGAGCCCCGTGTCGGGCTCTGTGCTAACAGCTCAGAGCCTGGAGCCTGCTTCGGATTCTGTCTCTCTCTCTCTCTCTCTCTCTCTCTCTCTCTCTCTCTCTGCCCCTCTACCACTCACACTCTGTCTCTCTCTCAAAAATGAACAAAGGTGAAGAAATATTAAAAAAAAAAAACCTACCTGTTCAATGAGTAAGTGTCAGAAACCCTCTAAGTGAATACATATTTAAAGATAACAAATATAAAGAATTAAGGGTAAGGATAAATCACCAATGGGGACAGCTTCTTTAACACACAGAGCTATCGATCGCTTCGCCACCAGATGTCCGCACATCTCAACCTCCGAGACTAAGGGAATGGGCATTTCTCACGTAAAGTTTTATCATTCTTTTTCCTTTATTTACCCTCAAAATGCACAGTTTGACGTCCAGTTTTATTTATGTCTTTGAAATAAGGGAGATGCTTCTCACTCATGGGTTTTAGCAAAGGCTTCACGTTTTACGATTGCCAATGCTTTAGACACGACTATGCTTGTCTCCAGCTATAGCAGCTTCACAAAAAGGAAGGCACTTGCCTAAGCTACCTTTGAGCTACGAGGAGCTCAGGTCAACAGGTGGCCAGGGCACTTACTGCTGGGGCAGGAGGCTTCTTTAGGGCTGGACGACATTGGCTGCGCACACAGTTGACAAAGGCAGTCTCTCCCATTGAACGTGACTCGGTCTCCGGGTGGAAACGGGCGCCTGGAGACAGAAAGACATTGCCCTCAAGGTTATTCCAGCAATTTAATTTCTTTCCCTGCTCCTTCGGCTTGCTGCCCTCCGGTGCCAATCCATTTCTTTGAGGAGCACCAGCCAAAATGTCTGAAATGCGGTCCTAACCGAGCCAGCCAGCTGGATATAGTCCAAACAAATAAACGCGCCTCGTTTTGAGAAGAAGCGAGAACGTATTGCTTCTACCGGCAACCAGACAGTAAAATGGAATAATTTACCTCTGCTCATTAGTGGAGGGATGTTCCAGCAAGTCACCTAGCCAGGTACACACACAAAACTTTTCCATTTTCCAAATGGAAAATCCTTCAAGAAGAAATATTTTAAATGCCATAAATTCCTATTCAAGCGTAAGGCCCCTCCCCAGGAGAACTGGTTACAGGTCAAACATTAACTCCTTCAGTTCCCTAGAGGTACGGGGCCATGGTGCCCAACTAGACTTTGTCCTAGACATCTGAGTGGGTGAACTGGATGTTTCCCTCCAGAGCTGGAGTGCTGGAGACCCAGTGCCTCGTGGAGAAGCACAACAGTGCTGTAAATACTTGTGTAAAAACCGTTAGCTTCTAAAAATTACAAAAAAAATCTGTTAGCTTCTTTTCAGAGAGAATTTCCTTTTGCTTTAGACATTTATCAGTAACAGACATTTTCCAAACATGTTGCCTCTCCATGTATGTTACCAGTCTCTTCTCCTGCCAGTTCAGCAGGCAGCTAGCTTTTCAAAAACAAAAGTCATTAACAAATAGGTATATGACAGTTTCCACACCTGCTTACTTGGAATTGGCAATTTGCCGATACTCGTCATTAACAGGAGTTTTCAAATGTGTGATTCTGTCAGCTAGGAAATGCAAAACTCCCAAGCAAAACGTCCCCCCACGTGTGAGTCAGGAGCAATTACTTAAGAACAAACTCCAGCTCCTTGACAGGAATATTACTTTCACAGCTGCGATCGCTCCTTTAAGTGGCCCTTCGGCTGCCTCACACTTGGTAATGAACCGTCATGCACACACAGGTAGTAAATCTGGACTCAAAACCACGCCACAGAGGTGCGTGGTGGAGAGCTGTAAGTTCTTACGCTCCCCACCCCCCCACCTCATTTTACAAGTGCTGAGCTGAGGCAGTCTCCTCCCCTCTCATGGTGTTGTGTTACTTTCCATTGTTCAGATAAGCCCCAGAGAGGTTAAGTGGCTTCCCTGGATTGACCAGCTTGGGAGACTGGGCCACCGGCAGGTACAGGTGGCATCCAACTCAGGACTTCTCTATCTTTAACAATCAAAACTGCACTCTGGTAGATGCCAGTGGGCCTATTGCGTCATTAATGAAACCTGAACAGGCCCCCAGTCGGCTCTGTGGGCGAGGCATCGGGAGTTGGGGGGCCATTTCAAAGCAAGCACAGGTTCTTTGCCTCTGATGAGGGCCAGGACTAGGGTGAGGCCAGTGAGGCGCCTGGGGCACAGGCTTTAAGGAGGTACAGGCCCCACAACGCACGGCCCTGAGCATGAGCACCCCCTCAAACTGTGCCCCCAAGCCGCCTCTCTAGCCTCTGAGCCAAGCTTGTATTTTCAGACTTGAATCCCACCTGGATCCACGAGGGGATACATCCGAGTCCAGGTCTCAACATGAGGCCAGGTCTGTTAAATTTGGGGCTTTGTAATTTTATAAATGATCTCCATACCTCCCCCTTCTGCCCACTGGGTCCTCTGCCCACATGGGTTCACTTCCTTCTGTGTAAATGCAAAGAGAACTGGATTTGGAGTCAGGAAACCTGAGTTCAAATCTTGCAGTGTTATCTTGGGAACGTCCGTTAAGCTCCGACACTCAGCGGCACTCATAATCAGGGACACTAATTCCTGGCTGACTTCACAGAATTGCTACGTGGGTTAAAGTTTGTAAAGGAGGCCCCTCCACTTCAGGTAGAATGTTGTCGGGTCAGCGGTAGCAGCATTGAGTAGCTGTTCACTGACTTAAACGTCCAGAGATGGGACTAACACTAATAGATGTTTTTCCTTCATCACCAAATTTAAAACAATGATCTCTCAAGGCCAGGATCGGGAGGGCTCTTAGAGTGTATCTGGGCCAGGGCCTTCCAACCTGGTGAGTTGGATGAGTACATCATACTTGGGAATCCTCCAGAAAGCACCAAGTCAGCAGGAGA